GGCTTACAAGGCGTTAAGCAATAGCCTTCATACTTTTGTATATATTTATACAAAGTCAGCTTATTGCCCCCACAATCTGGGTCCTCATTTAACCTACCTTTGAAAGGATGGAAGGCTGAGTCAACCTTGAGCCTGGTGAGATTCGAACCTGCAGAAATTGCAGGCAGCTGGTGTTAATTACAGGGTGCATTAAACCACTGTACTACCAAGGCTCATTCCTGTAAGTTCATCTATCTTAGGGAATAGTTACATTGGGAAGGGGCCTTGGAGGTCTCCTAGTCCAACCCTCTGCTCAAGGAGAAGACCCAATATATACCATTCTGGACAAAATGGCTGTCTAGTCTCGTCTTCAAAACCTCCAGTGGGGAAGCACCCACAACTTCTGGAGGGAAAGCCTTCAGGTACTTTGGAGAATAGGTTGACCCTTTCTTCTTTGGGGGCAGCCCCTTAGATATGGGAAGACAGCTATCATGTCAACATACAGAATAATAGTGTATCACTTCTATGTGGGTGACTTTGAACTGGTTCAGAAAGGGTCATCCTTCAGTTAGAACACAGATCATAGAATAACAGAGATGGAAGGGACCTTGGAAGTCTTCTACTCCAACGCCCTACTCAAGCAGGAGACTCTATACCATTTCAGACAAATGACTGTCCAGTCTCTGCTTGAAAGCCTTCAATGATGGAGCATCCACAATTTCTGAAGGCAAGACCTTCCTTTGGTTAATTGTTCTCACTGTCAGGAAATTTCTCCTTAGTTCTAGGTTGCTTCTCTCCTTGATGAGTTTCCACCTGTTGCTTCTTGTCCTGCCTTCAGGTGCTTTGGAGAGTAGGTTGACTCCTATCCTCTTCTTTGTGGCAACCCTTGAGATATTGGAAGACGGCTATCATGTCTCCCCTAGTCCTTCTTTTCATTAAACTAGCCATGTCCAGTTCCTGCAACCCATTCTTCATATGGTTTGTTCTCCAGCCCCCTAATCATCTTTGTTGCTCTTCTCTGCACTCTTTCCAGAGTCTCAACCTCTTTTTGATACATATACATTTAAGTATAAATAAGTATACATTTAAGTGTAAATTTGGAAGGCTTTCATCTTGATCTTTTGGAATATACCTATTGCTACTAAAATATCCTTCTTAGAGGCCCATCTTGCGTGTATTGAAGTGATATTGAAAACTGGTCATTTGTCTCTTTAACTCTTGGAGAATAGCTTGACTCCCTCTTCTTTGTGGGAGCCCCTGAGATGTAATGAGATATAATGGAAGATGAGTAAATCTTCCATTATGATTTATGGGGTAATGTCAAGGAAGTGCAGAAATGTAGCTCTTATCCATCTCCCTGGTAGATCTTTCCACCTACTCAACATCAGGGCCATGGTTGAAGAGATGTCCAGATTTTTCCCAAAAGTCTCCTGGAGTAAGTAGTAGCCACCAAATCGATTGATCTTGGTCCCTCTTGGTCACACCTAGACTCAAAACTCAGCAATACATTCTCCTGCATGGTTTGGCTTTATGTGTTAGCCTCCGTCCCGCTAATTATCTTTGTTGCTCTTCTCTGTAGTCTTTCTAGAGTCTCAACATCTTTTTTGTTATGTGGTGACCAAAACTGGATGCAATATTCCGAGTGTGGCCTTACCAAGGCGTTACAAAACGGTAGTAACACTTCACGTGATCTTGATTCTATTCCTCTGTTAACGCAACCTCTCTACACAGACTTTCTCCAGGAAAGTCTGACACCCTCACACTTATTTTATTGTATTTCTTTATTTATTTATTTCGTCAAGCATGTATTTGATAACAGATACAAGTGTAAAGTAAACTTAATCTCCCCTGGTTAAATATTTATGCAATAGAGAGCACTCTCTCTCCCTCCTTCCCTCGTTCCCTCCCTCCCACCCACCCACCTTTTTCTTCTCCTTCCTTCCTTCCTTCCTTCCTTCCTTCCTTCCTTCCTGCCTTCCTTATTTCTTTCCTTCCTTCCATCATCCTTCCTCCCTCCTTCCCTCCCACCTTCCTCTTCTCCTTCCTTTCTTCCTTCCTTCCTTCCATATTCCCAATATTTTCCTCCCTCCCTTTCTCCCCCTCCCTCCCTTCTTTCCTTCTTTCCTTCCTTCCTTCTTTCTTTCTTTCTTTCCTTCCTTCCTTCCATATTTCCCATATCTTCCTCCCTCCCTTTTTCCCCCTCCCTCCCTTCTTTCTTTCCTTCCTTCCATCCTCCCTCCCTCCCACCTTCTCCTTCCTTCCTTCCTTCCATATTCCCCATATCTTCCTCCCTCCCTTTCTCTCCTTCCCTCCCTCCCTCCCTTTCTTCCTTCCTTGCTTCCTCCCTCCTTCTTTCTCTCTCACACTCTCTCTCTTTGCTGATCTTTCAATTTATTACTATTTATTATTATTCATCTCCTCTTTCAATGGAAAAGGCTGGGTATTCCCAGCACATGGGTGCATTAAGCAGAACGGTTCCAGTTCTCAACCACAGACGCCGGCGTTTGCGTGACGACCTCTTCCATGCGAGTGCCTGATTGTGAAAATATTTTTTTTTCCCCTGAGTTTCTCTGGAACAGATTCAGCCCCTCCCTGCTCCCTGCCTTTTGCTATAATTAAGAGAAACCAGCAAAGATTGACGAGGCGGTATCGTGGAAAAGCCTTGGTTACAGTTGAACTGTTCCTCAAATGTCATTATTTGTTCACGCTTAATTTCTTCGGTTTTCAAAATCAATTCCTGCCTTCCCGTAAAATAGAATGAAGTGCCAGCTTTTTTTTCAAGGGAAAACGAGCCTTCGGAAACAAGACAAATGGGGCTGCGGGGGTGGGTGGGAGACTTTTTTTAAAAAAGTAATTAAAAATTACTTTTTAAGAGAATAGATTGACCTATTCTAAGGGGCTGCCATCAAGAAGAGGGGAGGTCAACCTCTTCTCCAAAGCACCCGAGGGCAGGTCAAGAAGCAACGGATGGAAACTGATCAAGGAGAGAAGCAACCTAGAACCAAGGAGAAACTTCCTAACAGTGAGGACAATTAATCAGTGGAACTGCTTGCCACCAAAAGTTGTGATTGCTTCATCACTGGAGGTTTTAAGAAGAGGCTGGGCAGTCAGTTGTCTGAAATGGTACAGGATTTCTCCCAGTTAGCAGCTGGAGGTTGAAATGAGGTTCTGAGAGGAGGAGGAGGAGGAGGAGGAGGAGGAGGAGGAGAAAGAGGAGGAGAAAGAGGAGGAGAAAGAGGAGGAGAAAGAGGAGGAGGAGAAAAAGGAGGAGGAGGAGGAGAAAGAGAAAGAGAAGGAGAAGGAGAAAAGGAAGGAGAAGGAGAAGGAGAAGGAGGAGGAGGAGGACGAGAAAAAGGAGGAGGAGGAGGAGATGACTGGACTAGAAGAGCTTCAAGGCCCCTTCCAACTCTCTAACAATTCTCTAAATGCCACACCAGCATTTTAGCCTTCTTGCTGTAGGGATGTTACAAAACAATGACTTGGATTGATGTTTGGGCAACCCTTCACTCGCTGTTCTGCAACTGCCTGAGGCCTGATCCAGTGGTACAATCCTGAGGATGCCAGATTCTCTTTCCTTCTTTCTTTCTTTCTTTCTTTCTTTCTTTCTTTCTTTCTTTCTTTCTTTCTTTCTTCTATCTATCTATCTATCTATCTATCTATCTATCTATCTATCTATCTATCTACCTACCTACCTACCTACCTACCTACCTACCTACCTACCTACCTACCTACCTACCTAACCTACCTGCCCATCTATCTATCTATCTATCTATCCATCCATCTATATTTGAACTCCTTGATGTGTCCGCAAACCCCCCCACAAATTCCTTCCAACTGAATATCGTAGCGTATCAGAGGAAAAAAGGTTGTAGGAAGGTTAACCGCTTGTCATTCTACATTAGCCGTCACCATTTGCCTACATTGGAAAACAGCAATAAATGCAGCATTTTTTTTTTTTAAAAAGGTATTCCTTACCTGCAGGCTAAACAGGTACTTCATATCACATCAGAAATCCACCGTAATGCACTCAGGAATATCCCACTGAGATTTATTTTATTTATTTAAAATATTTTTTTTATGGATGATGATCTTTCGTGTTGCAACTCTGAGTGGTTCACAAAACAACAATAACAGAATTGTTTAAGGTGGTTAGCTATAATCAAAAACTATTTCTTCTTCTTCTTCTTCTTCTTCTTCTTCTCTTCTTCTTCTTCTTCTCTTCTCTTCTTCTTCTTCTTCTCTTCTTCTTCTTCCTCCTCCTCCTCCTCCTCCTCCTCCTCCTCCTCCTTTTCTTCTCCTCCTCCTCCTCCTCATATTTTACGTTTAATTGTTTAAGGTGATTAGCTATAATAAAATCTTCCTCCTCCTCCTCTTTTCTTCCTCTCCTTCTTCTTCTTCCTCCTCCTCCTCTTCCTCCTCTTCCTTCTTCTCCCTCCTCCTCTCTCCTCCTCCTCCTCATGTTTTACGTTTAATTGTTTAAGGTGGTTAGCTATAATCTAATCTTCTTCTTCTTCTTCTTCTTCTTCTTCTTCCTTCTTCTTCTTCTTCTTCTTCTTCTTCTTCTTCTTCTTCTTCTTCTCCTTCTCCTTCTCCTTCTCCTTCTCCTTCTTCATCCTCTTTCTCCTCCTCCTCTTTCTCCTTCTCCTTCTCTTCCTCTCCTCTCCCTCTTCCGCTTCTTCTTCTTCTCCCATTCCTTCCCCTCCCCCTCCTCCCCCTCTTCCCCCCTCTTCCTTGGACAAGTCGACATCTGAAGAATAAACTCAACGCTGTAAGCAAACCTAAGATGAATTGAATGGACCGAATCTGTGACGAGGATAACTGTGGACACCAGAAGCATAAATTCTGCCAACTTGAACAGACGTTGCAGCCCCCGCCCTCTTCTCTAAAATGCACCAACTTTTGGAAGCAACATGAATACAGTGGCTTTTCAAGCGTGTCGCATTTCAATTCTCCTGGTGATAGAAGTGAAGATATCTTCCATGGGTTCCCATGTAGCCCGGTCTTCTTTCTTTTCAACTTACCTTTGCTGCGTCGGCGGCTTCGGTACTGCTCGGTGTAGCAGGTCAACTGGGTCTCGTCGTCTGCTTCTGAACCGGAGTTGCCCTTGGTGTGACCGAATCCAACACCACCTACAGAGAAAAAAAACAAATCAGTTTTTTCATGCCCACCAGAGAACCTTTCCGGGCGACATCTTTGCCAATGCAACAGGCGTTTTTGCTGCAAGAGGTGTGTAAAAACACAACAGCCTCCTGCTCTTCTTTGTCTTACGTAAAATTAGAATAGAATATAATAGAATTCCTTATTGGCCAAGTGTGAATAGAGTGGAATGGAATGGAATGGAATGGAATGGAATGGAATGGAATAGAATAGAATAGAATAGAATAGAATAGAATAGAATAGAATAGAATTCTTTATTTATTTATTTTATTTTATTTTATTTTATTTTATTGGCCAAGTGTGATTGGACACACAAGGAATTTGTCTTTGGTGCATACGCTCTCAGTGTACATAAAAAGACAAGATACGTTCATCAAGAATCATAAGGTACAACACTTTATGATAGTCATAGGGAACAAATAATCAATCAAACCATATTAGGAAACAGTCAATATAAATCGTAAGGATACCAGCAACAAGGTTACAGTCACGCAGTCATAAGTGGGAGGAGATGGGTGATAGGAACGATGAGAAGATTAACAGTAATGCAGACTTTTCTAACCATGTATGTATTTTCATCCAAAAATTTTTTGCCTTCACACATGTCCACCACATGTGATAATAAGTACCTAGAGTCTAATACAGGGGTGCTATTCAGCAGGTTCTAACAGGTTCTGGAGAACTGGTAGCGGAAATTTTGAGTAGTTCGGCTGGCCCCAGAGTGGGGTGGGAATGGAGATTTTGCAGTATCCTTCCCCTGGAGTGGGGAGGGAATGGGGATTTTGAAGTATCCTTCCCCTGGAGTGGGGTGGGAATGAAGATTTTGCAGCATCCTTCTCCTGGAGTCATGAGGGAATGGGGGATTTTGCAGTATCCTTCCCCTGGAGTGGGGTGGGAATGGGGATTTTGCAGTGTCCTTCCCCTGCCATGCCCACCAAGCCACGCCCACAGAACCGGTAGTAAAAAAAAATTGAATTCCACCACTGGTCTAATACATCTTATTCTTTGACTTCTTAACATGCAGGCTTTAAACTTCAATATCATTTATCCGCAATAGGATACTTTTAGATTTATTATTTTTTTTTTAAAGGAAGGAGGAGGTTGGAGAAATCGCTTATGGTCAAAAAAAATCTAACATTGTATTCAAAGAGAAACGGCTCATTAGCGTGCTTGACGGCTAACTTTTATGCTTTGGCTACGAGCCAGCTTGCCTTCCTGCTGTGATTAGTTGGCATCCACCCAAGTTCTTGGTAACTCCTAATCTCGGAAGCCATTAGGAGCAAAGTTTGCACTGAGACCACGACGAAGGCAGCTTCATGGCAGACAGTAATTGAATTAAGATTTTTTTTCCCGAAGAATTACGACTCCGAAGGCAACCTGGTAAAACGCAAAGCCTTCGTGCAGCTAAGGACCAACTGTCTTAACGTGCATTGAGCTAAAGTTTATTTGCATTTTCTCTGCAATTAGCCACCGATCCATGGGATCCATTTTTGGGTCTGGACGTTTGAAGCTTCAATTTGCACACACGGAGAGACATAGAGCCTAATAAAATTGATATTAATAAATCTAAAACCGTTGCTGCAGTGTTTCCCCAAAAATAAGCCCTCACCAAAAATAAGCCCTCCCCAAAAAGATTTAAATGCATGTGCAGCCGATCCCCGCCATTTCCTCTGATTAGGGTTAGGGAAATCAGGTAAGATGGCAAGAGGAGCCCCGTCTCGCTCCACATGCCCCAAAATAATAGACCTCCCCAAAAATAAGGCCAAGCGCTTATTTCGGGGTTCAAAAAAATATAAGACAGGGTCTTATTTTCAGGGAAACACGGTAGATGTCTTTTGTACTCTGGGGCAGTGTTTCTCAATCCTAGAAACGTGAAGATGTGGAAGGGGATGGGACTTTAAATTCCTGGATTCCACAGCCACCAGGTAGGTGGAAATATTAAAGCAAGCTGGCCATGGGTTTCTGGGAATTGAAACCCACCCATCTTAAAGCTGCCATGGCTGAGAAGCAAATGTTAATCTGGGGTGTTGGAGAAGCAGCAGAGAGATCTTTGGGTCAGTCATTCTCTTACTCTAGCATCAGTGTTAGAAGGGAGTGGGCTTTGTGGAGGAGGAGGAGGAGGAGGAGGAGGAGGAGGAGGAGGAGGAGGAGGAGGAGGAGGAAGAAGAAGAAGAAAAGGAGGAGGAGGATTGTGGGGTCCTTGGTGCTGTCTGAGCTTGGTATTTTCTTGAAGTTGTTTCATTACCCAACTGATGATGAAGGTAACATCATCAGTGCTAGAAGGGAGTGGGTTGTATGGACAGGAGGAGGAGGAGGAGGAGGAGGAGGAGGAGGAGGAGGAACTGTGAGATCCTTGGTGCTCTCTAAACTTTCTTTCTTTCTTGCAGACGTTTCATTAACCAGCTAGGCAACAACATCAGTGATAGAAGGGAGTGGGTTGCGTGGAGTGGAATGGGACGAGGAGAAGGAGAACTGTGGGCTCCTTAGTGCTCTCTAAGCTGGGTTGTTTTCTTGCAGACATTTCATTACCCAACTAGGTAATATCATCAGTGTTAAAAGGGACTGGGATGGGGGTAGGTGGGAGGAGGAGGAGGAGAATTGTGGGGTCTTCAGTGCATTCTGAGCTTGTTGGTTTTCTTACAGACGTCTCAAGACCCAACTAGGTAACATCATCAGCACTGCAAGGGAATGGAGTGTGTGGAAAGAGGAGGAGGAGGAGGAGGAGGAGGCGAAGGAGAAGGAGAAGGAGGAGGAGGACTTTAGAGTACTTGATGCTCTCTAAGCTTGTTTTATTTGTTCGTTGCTGTCGCAGGTGTTTTACAGCCCAACCTAGGCAACATGATCCGTGCTTCTCTTCAGACAACAAGGGAGACAACTTTATCTATTTGAGAACATCAGAGGGGGAAAAAAAACCCCCACCCAACCCCACTTTGTCTCTCAGGCTGAGATTAGCGCAGCTTCCCTTCTGTTTCTCTCGAAGGCTAAAAATACAGAGAGAAAGCAGCATTCCATGCACTAACCTCAGCCTACACAATTTGTGGGTGGGGGGGATTGCGCTTATCGGCGCCAGCTTTCTTTCAAAGAAATAGATTCACTGCCGTTTTTGAGTTCTCCCGTCCATGAAAGCAACCCCATGGTTCCATTTATTTCCCCTGGATCTCTGCAGCTCCGTCCGATGACAGAGCCCCCAGACATCACCGCATCGGTCTTTGGAGAACGGCTGCTACAATAAACCAGTTAGAAAAATCCAATAAACTTAAGGTCTCACTATACCAGCTTTCATCCCCATGGAACTGCTGCCATGCCTTAAATAGAGGCATTTGTTTTCCTTGCAGGAAACAAAGCTTTCCCAAGCTCCCTAGAATACCTATAACTATATACATACCTGACTACTGTGTTTCCCCGAAAATAAGACCCTGTCTTATATTTTTTGAACCCCAAAATAAGCATTTTGCCTTATTTTCGGAGAGGTCTTATTATTTTGGGGCGCGTAGAGCACGATGGAGCACCTCTTGCCGTCTTACCTGATTTCGAGCTCTGCATTTTGATATTTTCGGGGAGGGCTTATTTTCGGGGGTAGGCTTATTTTAGTGCATGAGCTCAAAAGCCCAATTGGGCTTATTATCAGGGGATGTCTTATTTTTGGGGAAACAGGGTAGCAACAGCAATAGCACTTAGACTTATATACCGCTTCCTAGTGCTTTTACGGCCCTCTCTAAGCAGTTTACAGAGTCAGCCTATTGTCCCCAACAATCTGGGTCCTCATTTGACCCACTTTGGAAGGATGGAAGGCTGAGGGAGGGAGGGAAGGAGGAAAGGAGGGAGGGAAGGAAGAAAGAAAGGAGGGAAGGAGGAAGGAAGAAAGAGCGATAGCACCTAGACTTATATACCGCTTTACAGTGCTTTACGGCCCTTTCTAAGCGGTTTACAGAGTCAACATATTGCCCCCAACAATCTGGGTCCTCATTTGACTCACTTCGGAAGGATGGAAGGCTGAGGGAGGGCGGGAATGAGGAAAGGAGGGAGGGAAGGAAGGAAGGAAGGAGGGAAGGAGGAAGGAAGAAAGAGCAATAGCACCTAGACTTATATACTGCTTTACAGTGCTTTACTGCCCTCTCTAAGCAGTTTACAGAGTCAACATATTACCCCCAGCAATCTGGGTCCTCATTTTACTGACCTCGGAAGGGTGGAAGGCTGAGATAATCTTGAGCCTGGTGAGATTTGAACTGCCAAATTGTAGGTAGCCGGCAGTCAGCAGAAGTAGCCTGCAGTACTGCACTCTAACCACTGCGCCACTGTGGACCAGATAGATAGATAGATAGATAGATAGATAGATAGATAGATAGATAGAAAATAAGCCCTAACTGGAAAATAAGCCCTAGCATGATGTTTCAGGATCTACTCCCAAAATAAGCCCCAGTTAAGATTGTCAGCCAGTCGGAGGCGTTTAGTACTGAATTTCCCCCAAAGTAAGACCTAACCTGAAAATAAGCCATAATGTGTCTTTTGGAGCAAAAATTAATATAAGTCTTATTTTGGGGGAAAGATGGTATATGTATGTATGTATGTATGTATGTATGTATGTGTATATATATATATATATCTCCAAGATTTCATTTATCCAAGGAGGTTTCAATTCATAAATAGCCACGGGCAGGAAGGTGCGTTAATTTCTACTTGATTAAGATAATTGATCGGTTAAGGCTGAGGTCACGGGCTGGTTTGTGAGTGATGAGCATCAGAGCGCCAATGTATGCATGCGGCACCACCGATGCCCTGGAGGAAGGAGACGTTTCTCTTCTGGACAAGCCCAGCCTGGAACACAGATGCCTCCCGAGCCCGTTCCCTGCGCGCTTTCATTTGGCTGCTGCATGCATCCCGGTGATGGATGGTGCTGACAGGTTAAATTATCCAGGCTGCACATCTTTAGAGAGCCGTCGACAGGGATCCTGCATTTTCTGATTATGTAGAA